CCCCCAGGAACTGACGCGCTCGCTGCCCTGTCCCTTGAAAGAGAGGGCTTAGGAACAGGCTCCGAGCCTCCCCCTGCAGAGACGGGCGTTCAGACTGATTTAATTTTAACTGCCCCCTTAAACATGTACATGCCCCCTGAACAAAACAAATCCTGGCTCCGTGCCTGCCTCTGCCTTTGTATGTACAGGAACGAGGAATGTTGGGGCAGACAAAAGTGTCGGGTATTACAAGTTGAAAACACTCAGTATATCAGGGGTTAAATGTTTGTTTATGTTACTCACAGAAAGTCACATGTTTCTCATGTAACCAATGTTCTTTAGCTGTAGAAAGCCCGGGAATTTTCTCCCTGATCTAGGAATTTAATTGGGACTAAAGTGTCAAGGTATATTACCATTTTATGGTTTCTTTTCCCGTATTTGTTTCTGAAGAAGAAGAAGAAGAAGAGCAGCCATAATCTCTCTCTTCCAGTTTTGTCTTTGTAGAGTAAGGATGTAGCCGATGATGCTCTGTTGTTATTTTCATCCCAGTTACCCTTCCCCATGTTAGTAAAAACTTTATATTTTAATCACACATGGACTCTCAGTCTGAATTATTTTACTCTGGCTCTGCTAGACTATATTATCTCTGCTAAATACAATTTTTTTCAATATCTCACTATCACCCAACAAAAAGGCACTCCTCGTGTCTCACTCACCCCACTTAAAAAGGTCAGGTGGGACCCCACCCCACCCCACCGCCACTCTTCATGGTAGACTGGGCATCACACTCCCTTGCACATGCGGAACACACGAAGCCGACTTCAACGGAATCAGACCCTTGGTCTATCGGACTGACAACTGCTCTCCCGAGGTCTTTCCCATCACCTACTGGCCTGGTCCTTTTAACTGGAGAGGCTGGGGGCTTGAACCTGGGACCTTCTACGTGCCCAGAAGACCCTCACTGAGCCTCTAAGCTGAGTTAGTGTGAGCTAGCTGACAGTCTTTTAGCCTCCAGCTCACACATTTTTGTCTCCGCTCCGGAAGGATGTGGCTCCAGAGCAAACTAATTTAGGCAGTAGCCCAAAATCGCTCGCTCAGAACTTTAATGCCAGTGGCTCACAGAGTAGAGTTTTTGCTCACAAGACTCCACGGCTTAGAGGGAACATTGGCCACGGCCCCTTCCCAAAGAGCAAGGCGGGCGGGGAACACCATTGATCGAAAAGGAGAATTCAGAGCAGTTGTAACAGCGTTCTGTGCGCCTTGGTGTTTAGTCATGCCGGCCACATGACCACGGAAACGTCTTCAGACAGCGCTGCCTCTTCGGCTTTGAAACGGAGATGAGCACCGCAACCCTAGAGTCGGACTCGACTGGCTTTCGAGCAAGGGAACCTTTACCTGTCCAGGCTGGGACCAGTGCGGCCATAAAATGGGGGGTTTGAAATCGCATGGGGGGGGGAGTTGGCTGCCCTGTGCTCGAAGAGGGCGGGAGCAGCCAGGAAGGTGAGAACACAGCAGATCCTGCACATCACCGCACACATTCTGCGTGAGAGCCAGTGTTCCCTCTAAGCAGAGTTAGTGTGAGCTAGCTCACAGTCTTTTAGCCTCCGGCTCACACATTTTTGTCTCCGCTCAGGAAGGAGGGCTCCAGAGCCAGCTAATTTATTTGCAGCAGCCCAATCACTCGCTCACCCCTTTAATGCCAGGAGCTCGCAAAGTAGAATTTTCGCTCACAGGACTCCACAGCTTAGAGGGAGCCTTGGCCAGGGCCGCCTTGAATGGCCACCACCCCCTTGTCTGGTATCTTCTCGGCTGGTTCTGACAGAGACCCTGTAAAACTCTTCTTCCAGTGGACTCTGGAACCACTGCCAAGAAAGTTTGGGGACAATAATTGGTGGCCTTCACGGAGCACTCACTAAGGATATGTGCGTGGTGGTGGGGGGTCCTTCATTCCCTACGCTTCGGTTAGCCCACCGAGAAACGACAAGAGACGGTCTGTCAAAGTCGAAAATCAGCCAATTTTTTTATTGTAAACAAATAAAGCTCCAGCTCAGCATAGATATTCAGTTCCATATTAGTAGAAATTGTTGTCAGTACACAAAATATGGAAATATTAGAAGTGGAGAACTAAGCCAAAACAAAACCCTATGCACAATTCCAAGAGCATCAGAGCACAGACAATTCACAGATTAATCTTCACGGTCTTCGTCATTCATACATTGATTTCCGGGGTTTTGGGGGGGGGGTCAGGAACCCCCGTCGCTGGCTGCAATCTGATTGTTTGCTATTGTGGTTGCTACTTGAAGAAGGCTCGAAATCACTGGTCAGTCTGGCACTAACCAGTTAAACCAGAAGAACTGCAGAGCACGCCAGTTTAGTCCCAAAAACGGCTTCCGTCGCAGCACACCTGATGTCACCTGGCTTGCTTTTCAGGCCACACAATTAGTTGTGTGAGCACTCCCTTTTAAGGCTGGAGGCTAACACACGAAGCGATGGAGGCACAGGAGACCAGAAAAGTCTCACCTGTGGCGTTCATGGCAAAGCAGCAGCTAGAGTAGATTCCCGCTGGTCTCCAGTCTGTGACACTGGTTCTTATCAACCCCAACTGTTCATTCCAAGTCACACAGCAATACACACACACACATACACGCCCCAACCAACCAAGAATGCATCTTGGAGCTAATCTGTTCCACACACAACAGGAAAGAAACTACAGCTGTTTTCAAGCGATACAACTATTCCTTAACTTATCAGAAAAATCAACTCTGTATGTTCAAAACAAAAAAACAGCTTTACCCACAAGTGAATGCAGGCAAATAATTAATATATAAAACACCCCTGAAAAGTCTTCTTTAAAAACAATAATTTAGCACAGCTGAAAATAAAATACTGCAGAGAAGTCAGTTGATACTCCTATGTCTGTTCAAGAAAATCTTAAGGCACCCCAAAGCATTTGCTCGTTTGCCCCACCGACTGCCTTAGAACATCCCGCGGGGGGCAGTTTGGTTACTTCAGAGACGGACAGCTCCGGCACAGAGAAAGGCAACTTTTGCTGGCCCTGATTTCTCCCCGGAACTCTGCGGCGCAGGGTTCGGTTTTCGCCAGCCTGACATTATTATGAGAGAGGCAAAAAAACTAGAACTGAGCTGAAACCGGTGGAGGGGCACGAATTGCGACAAATTTTGCTTTTGACAAATCACGGCCCCTTGTTTTGGCCGCAAAGGCTGCTGCGCGGAGGGGGAAAGTTCTCCCATTCGGGGGCAGCACTGCGCTCCCTTCTCACGCGCCCAAATGTGACGGACTCATGCGACAATCGCCCTAGCAGTTAGCAAGAACAAATTCTCCTAACTGGGTGGGTGGGGGGACGACACCAAGGAAGCCACTGAGGGGGTCAGCAAACAGAAACTTAACAGACCCACAGAAACCAGCGGATTCCTTTGGAGAATGTTTTGGGACTCCCCGGACCCCCTGCCTCCCGGTTTAAATGTTTTTTGCTGGGCTCAGCTCTCCAAAGAAGCCGAACCGCAGCTCAGCTGAGCGTGTCTTCATGCAGAGCAATCCACGCATTCCACCCAAATGCCTTCTGAATCCTGGGCGGCCTGTACCAAACGCAACAGTAATTGGAGGGGGGGGGGGAGAAACGTTGTATGACGGTTCCAAAGCTGCGTCGGTGGGAGTCCAGCCTGTTTCCTCCACAGCACAGGTAGGCAGCCAAGAGCCCCTCCCTCCAGCTCACCCAATCCTGTACTCCTCCAAACGCCCCTTCGCCACATTCCCATTTTGCTTTTTAGGTGCGCGCCCCAGAAGTCAGAGGGACTCAGCCTCAAAGGGTGACGTCTCTAGAGGCAGCCAAGCTGGAAAGGGAAAGCGTTCAGGGCGTGTGCAGGACAGGTAAGCCTGCTTCGGGCGGTGGCCCTCCAGAAGGCGAGCCGGTCCAGCCAAAAGGCTGCGGGGCGGAGGCACTTCCCTGGTGCTGAGCACTCAGAATGGCGAAGGGCCCCAGGCGGCTTGTTATGCTCGGCTTTCAAGAGTGCACGGGAGGGGGGGGAGGTGTAATCCAAACCTAAGAGCCCTCCCAGGTCAGGTCAGTCTGTCTGGACCAGAATCCTGTGCCCAGCCCAGATGTTTCTGGGAAAGGCCTCAAACAGAGCACGAAGACCGCTCTCCACACACACCTGGGATTCAGGAGCACAGCAGTCATTTCTCTTCCCCCTTTTAGACCCAACAAAGCACATGGCTTCTAGTGGCAATGAGTTCCTCAAGTTACACCTGCGTTATGCAAGTACGCACGCTCTGGTGAGAAATTATTTCCAGAGCCAGAAAGCAAAAATCCCCCTCCCCCAATCAAAATGATGTTCTCTATCAACTAAGAAGTCTTTTTGTTTGTTTTTTCGGGAATGTGCTTCCCGGAAACTGTATCGGGGGGCCCTTTCCTACATGCCTGTATCTGGGTGGATGCTGCTCCCGTCAACCTAACCCAGCCATGGCCTTTGTAGCTGGAAGAGCAGAAATAGCTGGTGCAATCAGACGCGCTTTGGCCAGTCACCCAGCTCTCGTGCGGGCATTTCCACCACACGCTGCAAATCACAAGGAGGAAAAGGAAGGAACGGCAGTACCAACGGACAAGCTGACGCCACCGTATGGCACACCGCTGACTTTGAGGGCACGGGACTGGAGCTCTGCTGCCCCTCAGCTGGCATCTCCTTTGTTCCTGCCTGCATTTTGCTTTCGGTGGAATTGGGATTTTCAAATAGCTGAGCCTTAATATCAGCCCCGCACAGTGGGAAAGCATCTCAACGGGAACCTCTTGCCCTCTGGGGGCCCTCCGACACACACACCCCCACTAGCTGGTCCTCGGTGGGATCAGGCTGAACCTTCGCCGTGGCTTACTGAACCGGACGCACTCAGCTCC